CTCATCTTCCTAACACTCTGTTTTATGATGAAATGACTACAGAAGTTTAAAGATGACAGCTTCAGACATAAGCTGACTTGTCCCAAATGGTATCCCTTCAGGCACCAGGTGGCTTTGGTGCAAAAAGTTGCTCTGTCACCTAGCACATGGAGTTTATAGCCACTGACTCTCTCAGTAGCAAGCCAGCTGGCACACGTTTTAAGACCTGTGGTTCCTGCTCTGCTATAAATATAAATATACCATTGTATCTCCTTCCTAGAGTTCAGCACAGCAAACCATTGCTCTCTCTTGATGTCTCCTAATTTTCAGGGGGAGGAGTAAAAGCGATAAAAAACTAGCTCCTAATTCTTACATCTGGTCTAATTTAAACAACACTAAGGCCCTCAGTCATTCCTTTTCAGTGCACTACAGAGCATTTTGTTTCTAATTTAAGATTTAGATTCAATAACACCTATGTCTCTTCTCAGATCTGGTCTGGTGATAGGCAGAACCTGCAAATGTGCAGGACTGAAGAATTAATCTGACAGTCCCTACGGCTGTTCCACGCAATTTCTGTGTGCCTCAGCTGCCCCAGGGAAATTCAGAGTGACCAGCCCTATATAGTTCAGCCAGAAAGCCCTAAGTGTCAGCAGCTTTGTGGCAGTATTTCTGATACCTCTTGTAAAGATATGTCCAGGCTTGCACCTGTATGAAATTCAGTGGATTATATCCACTTGCTGCTCTGATGATTTCTGGGAATATTCAGCTGCCAAGTGTGGCTCCCAATTTCTAACGCAATGAGTCATGGTGGTGTCATTACTCCAGTGCACAGTCACTGTGCAATAATTCAAATCACCATTGTAGTTATTACTGCCTCCAACAAGCAAGTGGATACCTTCTGCCAGCCTGGGGCAGGTGTGTGAATGTAATCACCATGCAATTAATTAGCCTGTGCTGCCAGTCAGTATGCAGCACACAGCTCCCTGCATCCCAACTGAGTCCAATTTTGCAGAACCACTGCAAGATTTAAAGGTACTTTGCAGTAAGAGCTCAATTTTAAAAAAAAAGCAAGCAGCTCTAGGGTTAGCTTTTCAGCTTTGTGTCACACCTAGCCAAAATGAGCACCTGCCTGTATCAGCCAAAGGGTTTTGCAAGATTGTGGGAGAAGGAGAGAGCTGCATGTTATTTCTGAAAACCGTGAGCTTAGAAATCATCTGATGTGTGAGTTGGGAGTGAGCGAGACAGGAAAACTTGGCTGCTTCCTGTGGTGGCTCTGCAAATCCCTTCAACTGGCAGCAGAGCAAGAACCCAGGAGCTGCCTGGGCTCCCTCCTCTCTGTGCAACCACAGAGCTACTGCAGAGCCAGATTAAACTGCTGGATTAAGTGCTCCCACAGCCCAGCATCTGAATCCTTGTGACAGCTGTGCCCAGGACAGAAGTCAAGCACCAGTGCCATAACTGCGTCAGCTGGTGTGTCATGGGTCACAGCATTACAGCTGAGAAAGGTCTCCTAGGTCATTCATTCCCATTTCTTAGCCAGCACAGATTTGACTCAATAAAGTGTTTGCTACTGCTCTAAACATGGCATTTTAAGATACTTGGGTAATGCAATCCTCTTCTTCTTCTCTTGGGAACTTATCCATCATCTGTTATAACTCACTGACAGGAAGAGTCTAGCCAAACATTCCCCTGTTTCCATTGATCCCATTAATGACTCTTCTTGCCTTTACTTTTATCAGAGCCTCCCATTTCACTGAGCTGTGTTTTCCTCCCTCCATACAGGTACAAGAGCCTGCTTAATTCCTTCCAGGCTGGACTGGCTTTTGAGATGAGGATTCCTCATCCCTGAGGGCCTTAAAAATGTTAGATTTCTGTTCTGCCAAAAAAAAATATCCACTGCCCTAAATTTTCTGCATGGAAAGACTGCACACACTCAAATAATAAATTTTCCATGAAGATATATACTTTCAGAGTCTTTCCTTCTCATCTTGTATGTCTGAATTTGGAAATATTGTCTATTTTTACCCATTCTCCAAAACTTGGGAAGGGGGCCCTACATGTGTAGAAAGGTCAGTTTTGTTATTTTTCTTCACCAGTCTGTTCTTGTTGCCAAACCCCCATTGCTGCTGTGAGCAGAGCTCCATTCAGACAATGTGTCTGTGGGAGGGAGCAGAGGGCTGGGTGCCTGCATCAAGTTTGGGTTCCCCCTTGGGGAACACTGTGCCAGTGTCAATATGTATCTGGTGCTCACCAGGTCCAAATTGGTTTGTAATACTTTCCTTTCTTTGCTGATAATCCTCATATCCCTCCAGGCAATGAGATTCCTGGGCTTCAGTGTTTTGTTGGTCTTTTTCACCTAAAATAATTAATGGCTAATGAGTTCAGCATCACTGGAGTTACTGCAACACATCTCACCTTCTGGTGTCACAGCAAGACATTATCAGCATTAGCCTCCTTTAGATCTAGGTTGCACACATCATTGGTAAGACCAGATTCATGCCTCTGTGACTAATTTGGGGAGTAGCTTTTGCTAACTGTTATGGAACATTTCATTATAACTCACCTTTCTTTCCCTTCAGCTCATTACTTGTTTCCCATTACTAGGTATGAATGTTGCAATCCAACACATGTTTTCCTTTCACATGGTTACTAGGCTTTTTTTTTTGTTTGTTTTTTTCTGTAAAGAAACCAAAAGATGAAGCAGGTAAACTTCCAAAAGCTGTCATCCACTGGTTTACTCTATATGTTCAGACAATACTGATTAAAATCCTATGCTGTTACATCTGAAAGAAATTTCCTCACCTGTGTGACAAGCTGAGCTTTTATCACAAATAAAGAGGGAGTTTCACTTATTTCTATTTGCTTTCTTTTTAAGCACAGTTCTCTCATTCTTACTGTCCTGGCTGTGATCTTAAAAATGGATTGATTAAAATCAAGATTCTGTGGACTAATAACCTGAAACTGCAACTGGGATTGCTGAGGCACCTGTATTTTCTAAGAACGTTATCTCCAAAGGGTTGCAAAAGAAAAAAACTACTAAGAATAAAATCTCTCTGTTGCTTTTGGGATTTGAAAGGCTATTTTTATAAAAAAACGACTTTGGGGTAGGCTTGCTGTGTTAAGTTAGGTCTTTGAAAGGACTTTCTTTCAGTAGTTTAAGACTGACCTTATTTGAAATGCACTACGTTAAGATCTGTATCTTTAAAAGTAAAAGGAAAAAGAAGGAGATTTGAAATCAGACCAAATCAAAAGTGAAAGTTCTCAGTTCTGACATCTAAGCAGAAAACTAGTGCAGAGAAACATATTTTGTGTATGTTCTCCTACATTTCCTTTACAGGTAAAATCAAATGAATGACAAGCTGCTATCCCCATGAATCTTTGGCCTTATCCAGTAGAGGTCTTATCATCAGACCTTTCAGCACAAGTATTTCCACTCCCTGCAGTGCTAAGCACGTGTATAAATACTTCATTGAATCAGCACCATAGCTGGTCTGCCATTAGACTGCAGGGACTAAAAATAAATAGAATTAGTTCTTTGTGTCTCTGATCAGTATAGAAATCTAAAGGAGAGCATGTCCCAGAGCATTAATAACCTCGACAGCATAATTACATTATTCTTATGCGTTGTACAGCTGAGAATAAGCTCTGAGACATAAGGTGTGATTGAGCAGATTGAGCATTGCTAACATGTGATGTGACAGGATGACTCCTCTCCTGTCACTCAGCACCTCCCATGCATCTTTTCGGAGCTTCCAGTTATGTCTTTAGGACTGGACAAAATGACAAATGTGGAAAGAAAAAGAAAAAAAAGAGAGGGAAATAATGTCTTCATTTCCTCCTTCCTGAAGGTCCCTCTGGTGTTCCTCCATATGTTTCCTGTGCTCCCTCTCATTCCCCTCCCTTGGCAAAAGGAAAGGGTTTGGTATGTCTGTGTCCTGTAAGTCCTGTACTGCAGGACCTGCTGGGTCATGCTGAGCAACTTAGAGCTGTTTGCATCTGGAATTGTTCTCATGCTGCAGATCAGCCTTTGGGAACCAGCAAAAATATCTGTTCTGCAATGGATAACTCGCTGCTGGATGCATCCTTACACATCCTCCTCCTGTGCTCTGTGAGTGACAGTGGAGCTGGAGTACTCCCCTCCACCCACGAGCAGCCACCAGTGGCTCTCTGCATGCAGGGGTGAAGTGGTGGCCACCTCTGCCACCACCAGCACCAGCTCAGAGCCACCTCTGCCACCACCAGCACCAGCTGTGTGTCAGCTTGTCAGTGAGACAGGGAGCACTCAGTGTTATTTCTAAACAGTTAAGTGTCTTAGTCTACCTGAGCTGGGGACAGTGGGTGGCTGACAAAACTCGAGAGCAGCTGATGGTGCCTCTGGTTTCTGCTGGCATGCTCCATCTGAGAGGCCCCAAGATTGGGGCAAGATACCACACCAGTGCCCATCACAGCTCATGTGTGGTTGCAGAAGTGCTGACAGTGGTATGGCCACAGGGCCAGCTGCAGGCTGCTGGCCCCTGCTCACTTCAGACCAACACTGTGGCTCTGAGAGTGCCTATTCCCAGCTACTGGTGAGGTCTTTGGCCCCTTTCCTCTGCCACATCACTGTCTTTGACGCTGTGAAACATTGCTCTGACACTTTTACTGGAGTGTGGTGTCCAGGGGACAGGCATGCTCAACCCTCTGCAGCACTGGCCACCTCAGTGTGTCCCTTACCTGTGTCTGTGGGTAGCTGTGCTTAGGCAGCATCAATAGGTGAGCCAAACCCAATAGGCATCAGCACAAAGCTCCCTGCAAACCTGTGCTCTGAAACACATATAAGCACCCTCAGCCTGCAGCTGTAGTCCTTAGGATGGAGTGTTCCCCCTGTCATAGCAAGGTGCCTGTGGTTTGATGCCACTCGAGGAGCACTCCTGGTATCTAAGTGCCTGTGTCTGTCTCTGTGTTTGCATTTACAGTCCTTACTCCCCCCAAGTTTTCCGTTTGCAGTTCTGCTTACCAGGGACTCCCTTGCTGTGTTTCAGCCCCATCGGAGATAGCAGTGAAGAGAGACAAGAGACACATCTCTGTCAGGCCATTCCCCTGCAAAAGTGCCTCCCACTCCCAGGGATCAGCATCCTTGACAAACTCATCAAGACGTGTCCTGTCTGGCTTCAGCTGAACATGAGCCAGGAAAGGGCTGCTGCGATCCTTGGCAAAGAAACAGCAGGGGTAAGTCCGAAGCAGTTTCAGTTCAGACACCCACATTTCCTGTCCTTGGTGGTGTGATTAGGAGAGCAGTCCTTTTTCTAATGTGGAAGGAAAATTATTTATCAGGCTGCTCTCTGTTTCCATTACCCTTTGAGGCTTTAGTGGTGCAAGACATATATTGACTTTGGGGAAGCATGGAGTCTTGCCTTTGGTTTTATTTATTTGGTATGTAGATTCATGGAGATAGCTTCCCATTCAGCACCACACCCATAGGTATGGTGACTATCCTAATTTGGAGCAATTAAAAAAACTCCCTGAAGAAAAGGCCCTTAAATTCTGGAGTAATTTTTAGTGTAATAATTGATATCTAGTTTGCATAAACTGTGTTACAAAATTACACATCTGTGCAAAGCTCAGCGCTTGCTTAAGGAAAACAGCTCTGCAGCAAAGGGAGGAGCTACCCATTTCAGAGGTCTCAGAGGTGAGACATAGCAGGGTGTAGTGTCCTGGTTGGGTCCTTAGAGAAGAGCAGGTGCAAATGGCCTGAACTGATGTCAGAGCACATGGGCAATTCACTCACTTCTGCTCTGAGGATGTTTGGACCTGTTGGCACAGCCGAGTGACACCGTCCAGTGGGACTCACCTGAGCAGTCTGGGCTGTGCAGTGCACCTCAGCCTGGATCAGACTTCTCAAACAGCTTGGGGAAATTATTCTTTTTGTTCTTCTGCTCTGTCTGTAAATGGAGACCTGTCTGTGATGTAGCAATGTATGGCCCTAAGCATCCTTGGCCATTACCCACTACCTGCATGCAGGGAGTTCCCCAACTCTGAGTGGCTTTGGGGTTACATCTTACCTCTGTTCCTCCTGCTTATGTCATCCTCAGGCACAGTCTTCAGCTGTGGTCTGGAGCAGACAGAAGAGGTGATGCCTCAGAGGTGTCCCATGGCAAAGGCAGCCTCTCCTGCCTGTGCACTGTTCCCACCAGTGGTGAAAATAGAAGAGACTGGTTCAGTACTAGCCCTGACCCAGGCAGAAGGGTTATGTACTGCTCAAAAACCTCACCTCCCACTTATCTGAACAGCCATGGTCCAGCTTTAGCCTTTGGAGCCATGGCAACCAGGCATGCTGATCAGGAAAACAGAAGTGACTCATTTCCAGGTTTCATTCCTCTCATTGCTTAGATTAAATTTCAGATAAAGCACTTGACCAATGCAATGTGAGATGGTGCTGTCTGACAGTCATGGTTAGAGGGACAGTGCTACCACGGGGGCAGTAGGACCTGGGGAGGGGAGAGCCTCTACCTGCAGATACTACCTGTCTCCTACCTACAGATATTTTCTGTGATACAAGGTGAGGGCCTGTGCTAGAAATCAACCTGTTTAAGGCCTGCACCTATTTGCCATGAGTTTATTTGTGTTTTCTCTGCCCTGCTGGTGGGCCTGAGCCCCTGGCACTCCATTTCTTCTGAATGGAAGAGGCCATAACCTTGCCCTGTGTGAGGTTGTGAAGCTGCCCCAAAGCTGTGTGTTCACCATGAGTGCTTCAAAGTGACCACAGATGCCCTTTTGACTGGGACTCATGCAGGGAAAGGTCCTGGCTTCTAAACAAGCTTTTTTTAAAATTCCTCTGTCCAAGAAATTAATGTTTTCTTGATAGATTTCCATACATTACAGTTAATTAATGATTTTATCAACTCACACTTCTTTCTGATATTAATATCTAGACTCCAAATTAGCCTGATTTTTAAACTCAGGTTTTTTTAAAATACCTTGACTCTCTCCTGCCAAAGCTTGCTATCAAAGAACAGATAAAGGTGAATTAATTTGTGTCTGCATCTTCAAGATACAAGCCAAAAATATCATTGACAATGAGCTTTAATACAAAGCACACTAAGGATCTCACACCATACATAGAACGAGGTATTTTTCTTTTTTCTTCTTTATCTTTTTTTTCTTTTCTATTTCTCTTATCTCCTTTCCTGATTGTTTTGGGCTTTTTTTATTTGTTTGTTTGTTGTTCAGTTTGGTTTAATTCCAGTGGTCTCATTGGTGGGAACCAATGGGTACACTGGTTCCACTGGTTCCAGCTAAAGACTATGGGGACTCTGATCAATGTGTATGAACAACTGATGGGTTTGAGACAGACCAATCTCAGTGTATCCTGTGAAAGGATGATGTGCAGTAGGCATAAATTGAAACACAGGAAATTCTGTTTAAACATTAATAAAAGCTTTTTTACTATCAGGATGATTGGATGTTGAAATATGTTGCCCAAGAGGCTGTAGAGCCTCCATCACTGGAGATAAAAAAAATCCCCAAAAGACACAATCCTGGACAACTGTGCAGTCTCCACCTTTGGAGGTTCTCCAGACTTTTACAGACAAAGCCCTGAGCAACTTGGTCTGGCCTCATGGCTTCACCCAGAGGATTGGAGAAGAGTCCTCACAGGGTACCTGCTAGCCTGAATGATCTTCTGGTTTTAAAAACCTCTGCCATGAGACACTGTGGCCACGAGAGCCTTTGGCCTTATTTTCCACTCATGGACACTCAAATCCTTTCACTTATCACTCTAGGTACAAGTGACTCCCTTGCTTTAGACCTGGACTGGGACATTCTAGGGTGACTTATCCATGATTTAGGGCACTTGTGTGAGGAGTGTCAATTGACAAATTGTCAGTGCAGTTTTATACTCCTCATTTATAGTTTGCCTTAGGTTTAAGTGGGGCATCAGTGATGCACAGAAACTTTGCTGATTCCTTCACAGGTCTGAATTTCACCCAGATGAAATGTCCCTTTATTCATTATTTTTTGTTGTATAAAGCTCAACTAAGTGGAACAAAGCTAAAATAAGACCATTAAAACTGGATTGTACTGATAAAACTCTTCATTGCCAATGACCTAAAATAACGTTCAGAAGCTCACATAACGTAGCTAAGCTCTTGATTCCTTTCTCCTTTTGCAGATATTCTTGGTTAGGAAAGAGAGTAATGTGAACAACATGGTCCTTGCAGTTCGCCTGCCGGTGCAGAACGAGGCTCCTGGTGTGCTCGAGTACAACATTAAAGAAGAAAAATCAAGTAAGGTCTTTACATTTTTTAGTCTTGCTCTGGTTATTGTACTGAACCCTCTTGTGATCACCAGTATTTATGCAATCTCACTTGCACTGAGCAGGTTCCTCTTGTAACTGGCAGCAGATCTTGCTTTCATGGTGTAGTTCAGTTAATATTTCCTGCAGCTGCTTTACCTCAGCTCCCCTGCGGTTCTGCACCTTCTGTTATCATTTACAGACAGACTTGCAACAGGAAAATAAAGCACCTCCAGATGAGGGGGCCAGTGCTTTGATCAAGCAAGAGGAGCTGCCTTTCACCAGGTGGAAGTCCTGGGGAAAGCACGAGGCTCTGGCAGACTAAGCCTTGTTAACTCTCTGACTCTCTGCCACTGAATTTGGAGGTCACCAGTTGTCTGACATCTGCTATGTTACCTTTTCATGTACCTCATACAGACATGCTGAACAACCAGTTACTCCTAAACTGTTTTGAATGTCTCACTGCTTCTGGGATGCAGATGGGTCTCGTGGCTGGTGGTGTTGGGGCTGTTCCCAGTCGGAGAGCCAGGTCTGCCGTGGAGAAAATGAGTTCAGTCAGACACCCATAAGGCAGCTCCCTGTGTAAATGGATGTGTAAGACATATGGTTTCCACTTTCTAAGGAATATTTGTAAACACCTGAATTTTAGGATAGTCATAGAAACATGCAGTCAAAAGAGTTCATCCAAATAACTCATACTGTTGATTTATATGAACACATCCAAATCCTCCATCACTGAGCTCTGCCCCAAAGCAGCTCCCCAGGTTATCTGTTTTATTCTCTGCTAAAACACTTGTGTGTCTGCAGATCAATGTTTTAACTTATTTCTTTCCCCTTGCTCAAATGAATTTGACAGTTGCTCAAATGAGTTTTTTCCTTCTCATATGTTTCTTCGCATACCTCTGCACCATAAACAGACTTTAAAGCCAGAGGGACAACTGAATCTCTTAATCTCTTCTAATCTCAAACCCAGACTGCAGACTGTCACAGCGTTGCTCCTGCACAGGGTGCAGCTGCCTGTCTGGCTGCTGCATTCCCCTGGAAAGATTTCTCTCTCATCTCCCTGCTCCTTGGAGCACCCAGCTGCAGGGATTCAGTGCTCCTTCATGAGGGCAGGAACAGCAAACCTTTTGCCACAACTTCAGGTGTTCAGTTAAGAATACAAGGGCAAGGGTTAGCTGCAGGGTGGGGAAAGACCTTTTATTTAGCTATTTGAACTTGACCTAAGGCTTAGATTTTGTATGGTGGGGAATTAGCTTTTGATGATTCAAGTTTTCCTTTGGATAAAAGTTAAAAAATTGAATCTTGCTATCCTAAAAATACGTCATTTATAGAAATGTTACTTCTTGACTTGTGTCCTGTATCATAAAATCTGATGTCTTTGAGGACAGCTGAAGTCAAATGTACTACAACAATGTCACTGAGCTAGCCTAGCTAGAGAGAGTTTTCTGCCATGCTTTTCAAACTTGCTTGCTGTTTCTAACTTATCACTAACTTAACGCAAAGGATGTGTTCAGAGTCGCAGCTTTCTGGTAGGAACAAGAATTAAATCAGTTTCCACCACTTTCATGCAAGTTGCAAAGTCAGTGGAGGAGAGTAATTAAATTTCAGCTCTCATTCAAAAATCAGGAGAGCTGCCATCACATGTGCAGCAATCCCAGTGGCCACGAGGCTCATGCATTCCTATGGTAGATATTCACATTATTTTTAGCTGGAGTTCTGTCAGTGTTGAGCTGTAGAAAGCCTCTCAGTTCTCCATCCAGCACCATTTTGACAGGAACACACTGGCCATGCTTTTGCTTCCTTTCTCATTCAGGGTAAGTAGCCTGGCTTTTAAATTTAGAAGAAATTGAACTAATTCCTGTTAGTAAAACCAAAGTACTATATCTAATACAAGGGGAGATGGTAAATCTTCAGTGTCACAGAGTAATCTAATACATTATCTTTGATTTATTGATTCTGCATTACTCCACTGACTTATAAAATTTTTCAGAAATAAAATGATGTGTTGTCCAGATTAAGACTAGAACCTGAGCTTCCTTGACAAGTAGTGTGGGACATCTGGATTGGCTCAGCTTAATGAAGTGCCCTTCACTCTTCCCTGATGTTCTATAAGTGTCAGGGTAGGAGGTCTCTGAGCACCCTGAGATGTTGTCTTGCTGTGGAATGCAAGTCAGTTGAAATTTTGGTGTTACATTCCTGAAGTGAAGCACCCCAGCTGCATAGCCTGAGGACCACTGTGGACTGGCAGGTTTTTTTCAGGCATCTAGTCTTCAGCTTTAGAAAGTCTCTCTTTAGTTCTTCCATTCTTGCTACAAGGAAGCTTCAGCTTGCCACTAAACATTACAAACAGAGGTGAATCCTCTGGAGAGCTACCTGCTCTTTGAGTCTGCATGAAGTGCAGCAGAGCTGGTGCCCTTTCAGTGCTCTTCAAAAGGACCAGCTGTAATGCCCCTGCCTTTTAAGAATCCTCCTTCTCAGCTGTTGTGGGGACCATGCAGCTTTGGTTTTGCTGGCCTACTCCTAGTATTTCCTTTCTGAGTTGACACATAAGCAATGATCTATGTAATGTGCCCCATGGAAACCTTTCTGAGAGCTGGCTCCTCCTAAAAGGGTTCAAAGAAGTGGGAACAATTTCTTCTCCTCATTACCTCAGTTCAACTCGCTAGACTTCACAGACTTGATGCATTCATATGTAAACTGAAAGCTGAATTTGCCTTGATATACATAGTTCCAATTTTATAGAAAGCCTTCATTCAGTTAAAATTCAAGCTGCAACCCATCTCAGCTTACTATCCTGAAGCACCTTGCCAGCTGCTTCTTGTCCTTAGGAGGACTCAGTGCAATCCCAGCACTAAAAGAGGCACAAAGAAGGATGTGCTGTCCTTAGAGCTTGACATGATTGCCCTGTGCCATCTCTACAGTGATATCCATCTCTTATGATATGCAGCTTTATATAGCAAGTTTTGCAGCTCAGCTGCTTGTAAAAAGCCATTCTCATCCCTTCCTACATTTCAGAGAGTGTCTGGAGAGGCTTTCCCTGGTGTCATAATGACAGTACAGAGGTTGTTGCCCAGCCCCTGTGATCTATATAGAGATGGCCATTCAACGAAGGACAAAAAAAGAGCCCAGAATCTTCCTAGCATTGTAGTGCCAAATAATGGTGGTTCATTGTTTTTCTCTTTGTTTTCTGTGAATCAGATCTGCTTTGTTGATGTCTGATGAAATATTTAGGGAAGTAAAAGTTTTCTGAGGGGAAGACTGGATTTAATTGTAATTTTTTTTTTACAAATGGAAATCCCCAATGAACCCACTATGTAAGAAGACCAAGAAATGAAACTTCTTTCCATTTTGTTTTGTGGGAAATTTTCACTTCTTCTCTGAAGTAGCCCTTAGAATCATAAAATAGGAGAATGGAGTTAAAAGATTTTCTTCTGGGTCTTCATCTTTGGTTGTAACTCCTCCAGAGACAGGAGAGCTAAATCCTGGTGGCATCAACACATAAGGTAGAGAACAAACGACAGGTACCAGGTACCACATGGCACATCAGAAAGTTGAGAAACCTGTGAACTTTCCCTTGCATCTGTGGTTTTGCTCTTGGCCTGAAGGATTACTTACTTCTTACTCAAAACATTGTAAATCTCCCATAACTAAAGCTTGTTACAAGGTTGATTCCATTTAGCGGTGCGGTATTGGGAGCTACCTCTCAATCTCTGCTAAAATCTCAGCTACTTTGTGCACTTTCTGTTCTGAGGTTGTCCCTTAGTTCTGTTTCATTCCGAGATGGAGCCCTAGCCTCACACACCTCAGAAACTGAACACCATTTCCTCAGGTGACTCTTACCCTTGGCTGTTGTCACCAAACTGGTGGTAACCTCAGGTCCCAGTTCCCTCTCCTCTTTTTGTATAGACAATCAGAAGCTACTCTGCTGACACCAGCTCCATTGTAACAGTATTTGAAAGAAAAGAATCAGATGTTTAAAATAAATGTGCATTTCTGAAGTAACATATAATGAGAGCTTGAAGGAAGCATCTGAGAACCATAGACCACTTGGTGCAGGTAGTGACAGTAGCTTTTACTCTCACAAGGCATTACATAGACACCTGCCACAGATTTCTATTAAGTCCTTTAAGAGAAGAATGATCTAGCACCATAAATTCAGGATAATGCTTTCTTTTTTTCTGGGAAATTTTATGAATAATAGCTCAAAGTAATTTGATTTCATGATACACATGAGTGGATCACATACTTCTCGGGAGTCTTTCACATAAGTTTTGGTGCAGAATGTGTAGTAATTGTTTCCCAAATTCTTCTGCACAAAAAAAAAAACCCAACACAAAAAGAGGATGTGATTCCTTTCCAAATACACAAAATTACACTAAACAGAAGTATCTGCACTTGCACAGAATAAAGAAGAACATATTATTCATATTATGAGAATTTTTTTATATAAATAACAATGGAATTGATTTGCCAAGTTAGTAGTGAACCCTTCAGGCTCATGTCCTAAGGGGTTTGAGGCTGGCCTGATCCTGCCATGGTTGCCCACTCCTGTAATCATGCTCCTGCCTTCCTCATTGCTGCAACTGGCTTTGCTCACTTTGAGGCTTAGTTTCCAGCAGCAGTTCACATGACCCCATGTTGTGGAGTTGCTGTTCTTGTTCATTGTCTCTTGTGAGACTCCACCTGGAATACTGCATGCAGTTCTGGTGTCCTCAACATAAGAAGGACATGGAACTGTTGGAACAAGTCCAGAGGGGGCTACGAAATTGCTAAGAGGACTGGAGCATCTCCCCTATGAAGACAGGCTGAGGAACTTGGGGCTGTTCAGCCTGGAGAAGAGAAAGTTGTGTGGAGACCTCATAGCAACTTTTCAATATCTGAAGGGCCTACAAGGAGCCAGAGAGGGACTCTTTGTTAGGAACTGCAATGGCAGGACCAGGGGAAATGAGTTCAAAATGAAGGAGGGAAAGTCTAGGTTGGATGTGAGGA